AGCTGTTCTCCACCACCGCTCCTCAGCTCACGCCACCCACTGGCTCTGCAGCCCAGGGTCCCACTGACCCCATGGTCACCCCGGGGCCAATCCTGCCGTGTTTTCTCGGTTCAAACCCCGCCCAGACCCCGGCGGCAGAGCCCACCTCACCCTGGGTCTCCGCCAGCTGCCGGTTGCGGGAGTTCTGCTGGATCAGGCGCTTCATCTCCTCCAGCTCCGCGTGCTCCCGCATGTGGTGCCGCTTCAGGTTCTCCACGTGCTGCACCATCACCTCTGCTGCCCGGCTCATCCGAGCCTCCTGCAGCCACCAGGATGGGGTCAGGGGAGCCAGRCCTCTGCCAGTCCCTCCCTGAGCATCCCATGGTGCCTGCACCCACAGAGTGCAGCTGCATCCCCTCCCTGCTCCCAAGGGCAGGTGAAGGGATCCCTTRCACCCCGATAACTGCAAACACGAGKTCAGYGCCRTGAGGAGGAGAGACAAACCCCAGCAAGCCCAGGATGAGTGTCCCAGCCCAACCACAGCACCCTCCATCAGTGGCAGCCCTGGCACACCTGGTGGACAGCCCCCAGCTTCTCGGCAGCGCTGGTTGCCCGCTCCACGGCCGCTGACAGCACGGCCAGGTTGTGCTGCAGCTGCTCCAGCGTCTCCTTGCAGCCTGCATTGGCACAGGATCGGCCCAGCCTCTGTTTGGGGGAAAGATGGAGCTGCTGGAGCTGGACTTTGAGTTATCCAAACCCCTCTGGGGCTGGATGTTGCCCGCCTACCTCCAGGGCAGCTCGGCACTGCCCCAGCTCCTCCTGGATGTTCTCCTCTGCTGCGTCCCGTGCCCGTTTCTCCACCTGCACCCGCTGTTGCAGGGTGAACACGTCGCAGCGAAACGCCAGGGCGAGGTGGGCAAAGGCTGCCTGCGGGGTGGGGAGGTGACAGGTGGCACATGGGGACAGAAGGGAGGCCACCAGGGCCACGTGCCRCTGTCCCCGAGGCACAGACAGACCTCCCAGCATGGCACCAACAGGGCAGTGCTAAAATTAATTAGCACTAGGCTAATTAGGCTRGGCTGCTGGGTGCTGGGGACAGTCCCTCGAGATGCCAGCCCCAGGAGAGACACATCCCCCGGGCAGCCGATAAGGCATGGAAATGTTGAGCGCTCCTGGCAAGAGCACGCGCCGGGCAGACGCCAGCCCTCGCTCGCTGCGGGTCCCGGCTGACGGCTGAGCCTGACTCAGCCCTGGCACTCGCAGGGAAATTATTTTTATTAGCGTGGCTCCCGCCGCCTCCCCGGCTAAGGGCGCTCTTCAGCAGCTGCAGAGCACTTTGTGGGATTTGCCGGGCACGCAGAGGACGGGCTGGTGGAAGTGCGGCTGCCTCCAAATGCCAAGAGCATCTCTGGGAAAGGGTTTGTAGGGTGGCTGCCAGGGGACTGCGGTGCCTGGAGGAGCAGGGCAGCTCTGTGGGACCGTGAGCCAGCAAATTATCCATCCCTGTGTCCCCCTCCCAGCCCACCCACGGTCCCCAGCAGCCCTCACCTCCAAATCCTGCTCTGTCAAAGCCACCCTGCAGAAAGAGAAGTGCTGTCAGGGATGGAGGCATCATGGGGGCTGCATGCTGAAAATGCCCTTGTTCTGCTGCCAGGGGTGCCAGCCACCACGAGAAGGGGGGAGCCAAGGGCCCATTGTGTGGACAGCAACTCTTGTGCAATGGAAAAGGAGGACAGTGYGGTCTCTGAGGGGGGCTGTGCCCTGGGACCCCCCCCTGTCCCGCAGTCCCTGCAGAGATGAAGGCGCTCTCTGCTCTTACCTGTGCAAGCCGAGTCTGTCCAGCACCGAGAGCTCGCTRGGGAGGCTCAGCAGCGGCTCCTCCRGGGTTTCTGCATCTGCAGGAYGGCAGTGAGGACACAGGAGACCACACCTGAGGGTTTCCCCATGGCCTTTCCCTCTCCCTCTGCCCTTCTGAATTGGCAGGGAGGAGGTGCCCATGATGTGGAACTATCCCAGTCCCTCCCCCAGCACCAGGGGGGCTTTAGGTCCCCCCAGGCCAGTGTCCCCTCCCCATGTCCCCACCAAGGGGGTGACCCCCATCAGAACATGCTGTTCCCATTCTCATCCCGTTATTTCAAACCTTCCCCAAAGGGGATCCAGCAGGAATGTGGGGTGGGGACTCACCCACCTTCAGTCCTGTCACTGTCCCTGGGGTGCACAGCCGGCTCCTGCATGGCCCTGCCTGGCTCCTGAGAGGCACAGAGGAGCTGTTGGGGCAAACCTCTCCCTGGTGCTGCCCAGCATCCCAAAATGACCAGCACGGAGGGGCTGGGGCCTGGTTGAGCCCGAGGGGACCCCCCCTCACCTGTTGCCCTCCCCTCCCTCTCACCTCACTGACCTGCTCCACGCTCTGCTCACTCCCGGCCAAAACCCCATCTGGGTGTCCCTGGGGACTGCTCATCCTGCCTGGGGACAAAAAGAGGGGTGGGAGATGGGCAGCAGGGTCCCCTCCCCAGCCCAATACCAGGAGAGACCCCCCAAAACCACTGCTGGCACTTTTGCAGCCTGCAGGCACCCAGGGGACACGAGCTGGCATGAACCCCCAAATCATCCCTGTAGGATTAAGGGATCTGGAGCTAAACTGGGCCAGGGGAAAGGGCAAAGAATGGGATGCAGAGGGTGGGTTACAGCTGGTGAGGGGATGGGGTTGGGGTCCCAGCGCTGGAAGGGGTTGCAGGCAGGTGCTGCCAGGCCAGGGACACAGCCCAGGACAGGGTGGAAATCCCACCCTCTTGACCCCATCCCCCTGGGCTGCCCTTACCTTCATCCAGAGATGGGAGGAGCCCGGACACCTCTGCCCGCTGCTCCCTGCGGAGGGAATCCCGGGTAAACCCTAAAGAAACTCAGGCAGCACCGGCAGMGTCCCGCCCCCCAGGCTCCCCCAGCCCCCTCGGTGGGGCTGCTCCGGACCTGGGTCCTTCCCGAGCATCCTCCACCGCCTGCTCCGTCCCCGTCCCGCTGAGCCCCGGCCGAGCCGCCCCCTCCGCTCCGCTCCGCTCCTGCCGCTGCTGCCGCCGCAGAGCCGCCACACAGGACCCGCCGAAGCCGTTTCCAGCCAGCAATGAGTCACCAGCCCACTGCCGTGCTTTGCCTCAGCACTG